ATCGAGCACCAGATTTGACGAAATCGAGCACCAGATTTGACGAATTCGAGCACCAGATTTGACGAATTTGAGCACCAGATTCGACGAATTTGAGCACCAGATTCGACGAATTCGAGCACCAGATTTGACGAATTCGAGCACCAGGCAGTAAGTGATTTTTGAGTTTGAGTTGGATTGTGTCTCCGCCCTGGGCAGAATTTCCAGAAAATCAGCAGGTTTTGCGAAATCGAGCACCAGATTTGAAGAATTCTAGCACCAGATTTGACGAAATCGAGCACCAGATTTGGCGAAATCGAGCACCGGATTTGACGAATTCTAGCACCAGATTTGACGAAATCGAGAATCAGAGCCACCAGCCCAGGGACCAGCCCCACAATGAAAGCAGAGCCACCAGCCCAGGCCAGCCAGGGACCAGCCCCACATTTCCAAATGAAAGCAGGGCCACCAGCCCAAACCAGCCAGGGACCAACCCCACATTTCAAAATGAAAGCAGAGCCACTAGCCCAGGCCAGCCGGGACCAGCCCCACATTTCAAAATGAAAGCAGGAGAGTCTTTGCAGTGCATGGGAGATTTGATTGGACCCAGACCTTTTTTTTTAATTTTCCTGGTGCTGCTTTTGTGCTCATCGATTGTGCTCACTGTTAGTGGGACTCAGCCACTTCGAAAGTATAGCCTTTTGAGTTTGACTATAGAGAAACCCCGACCGCGCCAAAAATCCCCAAACGCAACAAATGAAATTCCCCAAGAAAACCGCACCCTTTCTAAGTTCCACGGGCATAGAATGGGCGCAGTTGGAGATGAGTTTGGTTTGGGGATGATCCGGGATTGAATACTTATATTGGTCAAAAGTGATTTTTTTTTCAGCATGATGGAAGCAGTTGAGCAGATGAAAACCCCATGTGCCCAGCTCTTGGCCGCTCTCAGTGCGGTTCCGCCAAGCCTGGAGAGTATAAATAGCGGGGTATGGAGGGTCCAATGCCCAAACACTCCAATATATGGAATGCTTACAATGATACATACATTGGGGTCCCATTCAGTGGTATTTCTTCAACAGGGGTCTATGTATAACAGGTATGCATGGATGAATGCTGTACACTATGCCAGTGCCATGCAGTGTTTGCGATGAATGGACATGTGCAACGGCAAGATGATGCTTTAGTTGAGCACTCCCCAAAAAGAGATTCCAAAACTTGAATCTAGCAGCTTTGGAAGGACTGAGTGGCTTTCGTTCAGCCACCTCGCCCCCAAACACCGTTCTTTTTTAGTGCGCCCTTGTGCACTCCTAAGTGAAAAAAAAAAAAAAAAACAACAACAACCACAACCGCAACCGCAACCACAACCACAACCACAACCACGACAATAAGAAGTGGATTCCGCGCGCGACCGGACACGGGCACGCGCCAGAAAAGGGCGTTTTCGGCGCTCCTGCAGGCCTCCAATGCAGCAGCCAACAGGCTGAACGCCATGGCGAAGAATCTGGGGCCGGACTCCGAAGGCCTGGAGTGTCACCGCGGTGGGCGGTGGGAGTGTCACCCCTATAGGGCTCCAAGTCATTACCTCCTCAGGTTCGGTATGACTGGACATATTTGGAGCCTCTAAACCTACCCCCAGTCCGACCTACCCTATGACCTCGTATACAGTAGGCAATTCACGAGCCAACAAGGAAAAGGGGGCAACTCCCATCGAGCCCGAGGCGGAGCCGATGAAACATGAATGTGAGACTTGCCGTCATCTACCGACACCCAGACCAGGGGCTTCTATGCCCAACCACTCCATGCGACTCCCATCATATGCCATATGCCGATCAATTGGGGTGGTTTTGGGGCGGCAGTTGGGGCAGCATATATCGCAGTCCCATGGAGTGTTTGGGATTGATAGCCCCCCAAAAGATGTGAATTAAGGGGTGTCCATGAACCGGTTGACCAGTGGGTCCTGGTCCGGGGAGCGACTACGGGAGCTTCTGTAGAGAACGTCTTGGATTCGCAAGGCCTATTGGCTCGAAGCGCCTCCTGAGGTTGCTTTTTTGGGGGGATTTGAGTGCCTCGTGAGACTTCGAGGATCTCTCAACCACCTGGTCCAAGACGCAACGTTGTACCCGATCAGTTAGAAAACTCGGTCCCGTGTTGAAGGGGTGGCTCCATGCGTTTAAACAAAGTGATTAGTTGGATGATGTTATAGAATATAGACCATATAATAGATGTAATATGGTGTAATCAGTATGTAAGTATAGTCAAAAGCAGCATGGCTTTTGATCACCAATCTCATCGCTTTCAGGCGAGGAAGACGAGGATGACAAGGATGACAAAGATGAAAAGGACGAGGAAGAGGAGAAGGAAAAAGCCAAAGAGGCTGCCAAGGAGGAGGTCGCTTGGTAGAAGCAGTCCTGGCACCTCTATATTTTTATTGTGGTTGTGGATCCAACAGAACAACGAGGTTGTCGCACTACTCTCTTTACATTGGTGACCTGCATGACTAACTACTCTCTTTGGCTGCTGCCTCAGGAGGAGCCGGAGGAAGATAAGGAAGCAGAAGAACGCAACATCATCAACATGCTCCTGGGACATTGGATTGGTGATGAGATCAAATCATTTTGTAGAGGGGTCCACGCGCCACGATCCGAGGGGTGTGAGACAGTGGGATGTTGAGTGCTGCAACACTTTAGACTCTAGAAGTTTCCGTGTTTTTCCCTGGAAGGTTCCTATGTTCCACTGGGATAACACTACCAGCACCTTCATGCACCTTCCGAACTGGAGGTCGGACTCTTTTTCCCCGACGATACCCGACCCAGGTCACGGTGGATTTTGCGGTCCAGAGATGTCCAGATCTAGCTTCAATTCCAGGTCGGAGATGCCGCTCCAGGAAGGATCCCATCTTCCGAAGGATCCGTCCTCGCGCGTCTCCCCAAAGCCAAACGTCCGCCCCATCCGAAGAACGGGCGACGCTGCGCTCGCTGGATCCGAGTGGACCCGGCGGCCCGGGCTGGGTGGCTGGGTCTCCGAAGTCCTTGGTTTTGGTGGAAGATTTTGGAAGAAGGGCCAGCTCCAGGATCCAGCTTCATCCAGAATTCTTCCAATGAAGCCTGATGAGATGGCTGAAGATCCAGCTTCATCAGGCGTGGGCTGACACGATGGTATCCCCAATGCAGGACCCCATCCTGTACTTTCAAGGGCCCCCAGAGCATGACTTCGCTGCACAGCAGAATTTTCACCGTCCGCTTTCCAGACCCAAGCCAGAGCACCCTGCATCCTCCTGCATCTTCATCCAATTCCTGGCAGAGTCAAACAGACCCCAACTAAACCTTAAGGTATTTGAAGGCTTCAACCCTTAGGAAAGGACAGGGCTGGACAGCCAAGTCTTGTAACTCTGGATCCGTTCGTCTCCTTTCGTCCGAGGCTCGAGGAGCTCATCGTGTTCCTTCAGCCCTTAGAGACGCCGGCCATGGCGCTGGTGCGGATCCGCCGCGGCGGCACGCCCAAGGCGCCCAGCGACCAGCTGAAGACTCGCGCGCGCCTGCGCCAAGCACGCGCGGGCGCGCGGGCGGGCGGCGCGGGCTCCCAAGCACAGGCAGGCACGGGCACTGGAGGATGGGGACTGTGAGGGCAGTTGTTAATTTGGACCCTGGTCGCCCTAACCCCGAGCGGCCTCCTTTGTGCAACTGTATGTCAAAGGAGCTTGCTTGTTGTCCGCATGTTTGAAGAGTGTAGCTTTAGGTGTTCTACTTGAATAAACAAGGTCCCTGCAGCAGGTGTCCTTCCTTTCAACGATAGGATCTTTGGTAGGTTGGTAGATGTTAGTAGGTCTTTCGTTTTGGCACCAGCAGCTGGGGAGTCGCAGGACATGGAAGCAGAGCCCAAGCCGAAGCGGAAGAAGTTCAACGTGGCCGGGCGTTTGTAGAAAGTGGATCCAGGATGATTAGCCCTAGGGCTCCAACCATATCATGAGAAGGTGGTTAAACCATATTAAACCCCTTAACAATTTTCTCATGAACGAGGTAGGCCAGCAGCCCTATAAAGAAAATTCGTTGGGGAGGTGGAAGGAAGGACCGAATCGATGGCCGAACTACCGGCCTGGCCGAACGGCCGCCATGACGCCCACCAGGTGAGTGGATTCATAAAGGGGACACCCCCAGTCGTCAACGACCAAAGCCTTTTGCTACCTGGAACAGACCTACAGTGGGCAAGAAGCTACTAGAATAGCAAAGGGCATCGCTACTAGTAGCAAGAAGCTACTATATATATAATAGTAATGCCCTTGTGATATACATGAATTCAATTATTCCGAAAGGGACATCATTGGAAGGGACTGTGGGCCCCACATGGCCACATGGATCCCAGTGGATCGGGGCTGTTCCGAACGCCAGTGGATCGGGTGATGTTGTGGGCGAAGGCGGCGAAGGCCCCAGTGTCCTGGTGAAGATGCTGTGTTTTCCTATCGTTTCTCCAGGTGTTTGTCGATGAGTTCGGGTGGTGGTTGGTTTGGGTGTTTGTTTGTTTTTTCAGGAATTTCTATTACAACATCAACATCCCAGTCGCTCGCAACTGACCAGTCTCAACTCACCGGTACCAGTTCAAGTGACCTGGAATCCAGTGAACAGTGGAGAAAGTGGGCCCCTGATCTCCTGCAGTGGGAGTCAGCTGAGGAATGGGGCTACGAAGACGGTCAGGCCGCCCCAGACCCCGCAGACCCCGAAGACGGGACCACGGTGTCCGCTGAAGCTTGGTGGACTGCGCAGCATGGATTTTGTTTTTTTT